GCTATTAGAGACCTTCAAAAATTAAAACTTACTGACCTACTATTTTGTACCGACCCTAACACCATAACAAATCGTCTAATAACTGACCTTAGTGAGTCTATAAAAGCTAACATCAAACACTCAAATATTCCAAAAAGTTAACGTGTAATAAAGCCTTATGATCTTACGTTGTATAAGAAATCGTAATAAGTTACAACAAAAACTACGAAAAGAGAGCCAAAACGATATATTAAAAATAGCGTACATTCTATACAGCAATAATCTCATCAAAAAACTTAAACGTTAATATGAAATGGATCTTCTTTCTAAATCTGTAGATAATAATAAACTTTTGTGGAAAAATATAAAATACATTACTTACAGTTGCAAATCGCATGACGATAATAAAGAGCTAATAAACATTAAAACTAATCCTAACGATTCAGCGAATTTCATTAATGCTAACTTCACAAATATAGGAAAAATAATTACTTCTAATATACAACCTAGTGCTTCTCCAAGATATAATCATTTTACTAAAAGTAGTTCAACCCAAATTAACTCATTCGTTCTGTTAGAAACTGACGAAAAAGAAGTAGAAAATACCCTCATGAATCTAAGATCTAGTAGCGCTCAGGGCTGGGACTGTATTTCTATTACCTTCCTGAAACTTGCAAAGAAAGAACTCGTACACATCATTACTCACCTTGTAAATCTCTGCTTTCAGCAAGGTATATTCCCAAATCCATTAAAAAAATCTTTAATTACTCCAGTGTACAAGAATGGAGATCGAGGTGATGTTGGTAATTACAGGCCAATTTCAATTCTCCCTGCAATTTCAAAAATAATAGAGAAACTTCTGAATACTAGACTCCTAAATTATCTTAACAAATATAAACTTCTATCTTCTAAGCAATTTGGCTTCAGGCAAGGTAAATCCACAGAGGACGCAGTAGCTGCACTAAGTCAAATTATAACTGAACACTTGGACAAGGGAAATAAATGCTTGTCAGTGTTCCTGAACCTCAAAAAAGCCTTCGACACAGTTTCTATCCCTATTCTTGTAAATAAACTGGAAAGACTTGGTATAAGAGCGAATGCACTGTCCCTTTTTAAGAGTTATCTCTCGGATCGAACTCAAAGAATAAAGCTCAATACATTCATGAGTGATGACGTCACGGTATCACACGGCATGCCGCAGGGTATTAGGCCCCACACTTTTTCTTGTTTATATAAACGATCTTTTTTGTCTGCAAATCGATAAGGCCCATATTCTCTCCTACGCCGACGATACTGCTATAATTTTCACTGGAAGAGATTGGAATGATGTTAAGGAAAAAGCGGAGGTAGGGATGAGTTTAGTTGCTGGCTGGTTAAAGCATAATCTTCTTACCTTAAATACAGACAAGACGAACTTTATTTGTTACATTATACGTGACCAATCACAACCTAATCTTAATTTTAAAATCAAAATACACTCCTGCAATTCCTATCCCGGATTGTCTAACTGTGTATGTCCCGTTATTAAAATAACCAATAAAACTAAGTGTCTGGGGGTGATAGTTGACCAACGGTTATCCTGGCATCCACATCTTGAACAAGTAACAGACAAGGTTTGGAAAATGATCTGGATATTTAAGACCTTAAGATATGTGGTGCCAGGTGAGAAATCAGGTAGCCAGTACTCTCATAGAAATATACTCAAGGAGATCTATATGGCGTTAGCACAGTCCCTACTAACATACTGTATCCCAATCTGGGGAGGGACGGGTAAAACCAAAATGTTGGAGGTGAACGTGCACAACGTGCTCTTTTGAAAGTAATGCACTTCAAAAAAAGGAGGTTTCCAACTGATGAACTTTACTGCATCAGTAAAGTCTTATCAGTGAGAAAGCTATATGTTCCGCTCACTGTATTAAAAAAACATAAAACCTTAATCTTAACCTACGACGACAGCATCAAACAAAAGGAAGAAAAGCAGTCGTTTCATTAAATAAATCTTAAACTGCATTTGCTAGTAAAAAATACTCAAGCCACTCCGTTTCACTATATAACAAATTAAACAAAGAACTAGAGATTTACAGCAAAACAAATAAGGAATGTAAGAAATTGATTACCAATTTTTTATCTCCCTTAAATTATGAGGAAACAGAGACATTATTACAATACAGATACTAAATGAACATATACACATACATACACACATACTCAGAACATACTCACACACTACTCATACAATATGCACCACTTTATTATTTACTTTAGCATATTTTATTTCGTTAATAATATTGTAATTATTAGCTAAGGAAGAGCGAAGTCACTTGTTACAGGCATTATTTTTACTTACAAGGTGACTTCGATCACTGATCATATAATGTAACATTAATGTTTGACGAAATAATTTATTATTATTATTATTATTTATTAGGTTATTAATAGAGTAATCACATCTGGGTGGGCTGGATAAATATATAAAGGGAAAAATAAATATACTTAAATATATATTTAATATACTAACATAAATAAATAAATAAAAGCCCAACCAGATGGAAGCCCTCGGCAGGGGAGACTATAAAAAAATACAACCGAGGGTTAGGGGGAAAGGAAAAGAAGCCAATGGACGATGCGGGCGGTATCGAGGAGCACCGCCTTCTGCATTTGAGCCCGGAGCGGTCCGTCACGGAGTTCCAGTCGCCTCAGATGGCCCGAGAGGCTGGCTGGGATTAACCCGTTTCTAGACACGACTACAGGAATAATTTCGGTCGGCAGACCACCCCACATGTCGGTCACCTCGTGAGCCAGGTCCAGATATTTTGATTGCTTGTCTGTTTCGGCTTTAACGAGGTTCTCGTCGAATGGTAATGTCGACCAAAAATATCCTTGACTGTGCCCGATCCATCAGTACAATATCAAGCTTATTCGCAAGAATAGTCCTGTCCGTGATGATGGCCCGGTCCCAGTAGAGCATGGCGCAGTAATTTTCAAGCACGGCTTCCGGCAGGTACTTGTAATACGGCACTTTCCACGAGATAGTATTTCAGAGCGAGTTCCTGGTGTAGAATTCTGGCTACTAGGTTGTGCCTGTGCAAGTACTCAGAGTTAGAAAGCGCCGAACAACCGGAAATCACATGCCTAAGTGACTCACCGGGATGGCGACAAGCTCGACAAATGTCGATGGTAACATCCTTCAGGATGTATCTCCGATAGTTGTTGGTCTTAATAACCTGATCCTGTATTGCACAGACAAAACCCTCGGTTTCCCCGAAGAGGTCACCGAAACGTAGCTAGTTAAGGGAGGCGACTGTATCTACGAAGGGCTCATGTAGAGCCCTGTAGTACCTCCCCGTGGAGCTTCTTCTTCTTCCATACGGTCTCCCGGTCGGAAATGCTAAGCACTGCTGGGTCCTGCCATTGCTCGTTGGCTAAGGATAGAGGGTAAGCCCTTTATCACTAGAAATGACGTCATTATAGAATGAATCATCCGTTCTCGCCAGGAAGTAATCACGGAGGTTGCACACTTCGCGAATATGCATGGTGAGCGCTTTCAGAAAACCATGCCCACCATACTTTCGCGGCAAGTACAGCCTCATTACCGACGATCTCGGATGATGCATCCTATGGGACGTCATGGTAGTGCGGACTTTTCTATCCAGGGCGTTAAATTCAGTCTGGGTCCACCTGAGTAAGCCAAAGGTATACATGAGGACAGGCATGACCCAACCGTTATATGCGTGTGTCTTATTCACACCGGACAAAAGGCTGTTAAGCACTTTGGTCAAGCGTGCATAAAACACGTCGCAAGCTGACTGTTTCATACCAGCCTCATCGATACCGATGTTCTGTGACATACCCAGGTATGGTATGTTTCAGCCTCGGAAAGGGTAATTAAGTTGATGGGCATAGATAAGTCTATGCCCTCAGCGTTAGCAACCCTTCCCTTTTCAACATGGAGGACCGCACACTTATCCGTTCCCCTTCCGACCCCTTCTTATCCTAATGTGGTACTCCGCAGCCATCATCCGCTCACCCAGATAGCAAAGGACTCTATTATATATATATACTCTATTGCCCCATACACTGCTCGAGGAAGTCTCCAACTGTACAGTCAATTTTGTACACCTGGAGGACTCTCTTTAGCCATGTATGGGGCACCGAGTCAAAAGCCTTTCTGTAGTCTATCCAGCCGGCGGAGAAATTCCGACAGTTGCGTTTCACCACTTTGCCAATGACCGCGTCAATGAGGAGTGGTTCCTTGGTTCCACTACCACCACCCCGATATCCATTTTGAGCACGTGACATCACCTGATTTAGCTCCAGGTGACGAGTGATTCCCACGCTCAAAATGGATGTCAGTGTCTTATATATGGTGGGTAGACACGTGATGGGGCGGTATTTGCTCGGGTCTGTGGTATCCTGATCTTTAGGAACCAAGTGAGTGATCCCAGTAGTGAAGAGGCTCGGGAGCGGCTTCTGATCGAGAGCCTCTTGATACTGTCGGGCGAGCACAGCGTGACACACCACGAACCCCTTCAGCCAATAATGATGCAGCCCGTCGAGCCCCGGACTTTTCCAGTTCGGGGCCCTACGGACCGCCTCAGCCACGTCTTCAGACGTTATGGTGACGGGGTCCATAGGTGTAACACTTGCAATCTGGCTCACCACAATTTCCATCCAAGGGCCCTCGCTGTGGTTTACGGGCTCTGACCACAGACCACGCCAAAATGCGACAGTGTCAGCCTGATCCGGTCCTGGGCCCACTCCACATACCTCTGGTCGCTCCAATGATTTATAGAGCCTCTTCTGATCACTCTGGAAGAGACGATTCTGGTTTAACCGCCTTCACCTCTCGCTAAATTGTCGAATCCGCTTCCCCCAAGCAGCGATTTTTTGCTTCAGGTCATCTATGCGCTCCGTTAGTTTCTGCGTGATATCAGGCTGGGACAAACTAATATTTGTCCCAGCAAACGCCATTCTAACGGTGCGCACAACTCTCGGTATATTATTACGCGACCTGAAGCTTGTCAGTCTGCCGATAAGGGCCCTTGCCTTTGCAATACGGTCCTTGATTCTTTTTCTCCAGGCTGGGATGGCACTACCTTTTTGAGTAGCACGTCCAGCCATGGGAAGTTTGGCGCCAATAATACGGCATACTGCCAGTGCGGCGCCAAAAGAATTGAGTCTGTCTCGCAAAGGTCCCGGCTGGCTTCCAAATAGGTCACCAGCATTGGGTTAAGAGCCCGCACGACAGCCCTATTTCGCTTGCTAAGGGGTATGCGGGGAAGTCGCGGTCGATTTTCGAGAGGCATACTGCGCGTTTCCAGCATCGACTCTTCCAATATGCTCCTCATTTTCTCTAGTTCGTGGGGGACTATTCCATCATCGTCTGAATCAACCACAAATGGAATATTGACGGCAGCGTCCACATTTGCAGTTTGCTGCGCAATTAGTGGCGCCGCATTCCCAGCCGTAGCATTTCCATCCGATGAGAGAACAGCCTCACGTCGTAGTCGTCGTTTGGCGTCACCAAATATGTTGTACCGAACTCGGTCTGCCAGGTTTTGCTCAGTGACGGATAGAGATGGCTCCAGCTCTGCAAAAAACCGATGCATCCGAGCCCGATATGCCAAACATCCGGTTTCTTCCCCTTTTGCCCTAAAGTACGCCCGCAGTGCGTTTGCGTTCATTGTTTGTGACCAACGCTTGCGACGTGCTCCACCAGCGTCGGGTGCCGCTTGCTGAGTCCGAGAAGACCCAGCCGACACCAAGCCTTCTGGTGGGGATGATGGATGCGGGGGGCTGCTAGGTGATCGTACAGCTCCTCGCACTCGGCTGGCGGCCCGCATGCTGCCGCGTCCAGCGCCAGCTCCAGACGCGCCCCGGCGACCCCCAGGCAGCGGCCCTATGCGCGTTCCTCTTTGTACCATCATCCATTTATGGGCGCCAAATAACGGGAGACGCCCAAGCCCGGCACCGTTTCGTGGTTCGGTCACATGCACAAACGGACCTTTGCACCCACAATTTTGCCTAGGCACGGCGCTCACACCTCTTGGCAGGGCGCTGACTGACTGCGCCGACGTAGTAGTTTTGTCACATAACTGTTACGTCAGCGGGCGATGGGGTCGTCACTTCCCTACGCCTTTCTTTATTATTATTATTATTATATTGCATACGCTTGCGCGAAGTTTATAAGCATATCACAATTATATTACAATATGTGACATGCCTATCGTATCGACAAATTTATTAGAAAGTAATATTATGTCATTTAACTTCATTAAATGTATTATTATTCCTTATAAAACAATACAATGCGTCCAAATTTAGAAATATATTTCCAAAATTATTTCGCCTGCAGCATCGACGCGCCGAATACCAGCTAGTTATAATATAATTATTATAATTAAATTATAAAATGCATTAATGCCAATTAAAATTTAACTGTGTACATATTATTTAAACAATCACCAGAGGGATAGGCATAGACTACGGACTTCCGTTTGGCACGATCCTGATACACCTCTCTCGCCATCTTTACATCCATATATCTATGTATACACGCTCGTCGATTAAGGTTAATCACAAAATCTAAAATCCAAGTTCTAAACCATCTAATCTGTGCACATTTTTAATATATTGCCAATTTGGTCGATAAACCTTCGTCTAGGGCGTCCCGTCCCGACTCTATCCTTCACATCTGCAGTAAAGCTTGGTTATTCTTGCCTCGTTCTTTGCTTGGTTTGCTTAGTAATTCTTTCTACATGAGCAAACCACCGAAACATTCCTTTCTTAATCCAGGTCACAACATCATCTTGCAATCTTGTTTATGTTTGTAATGTTATGTTATATGTACCTAAGCGTCGAATGCAGAAATTACTTACTTACTTACTTACTTATCTTCACGCACAATCCCTAACGGGGTAGCCAGAGAGAACAGATCGCCAAGTGTCACGATCCTTACATACCTCTTTCGCTTCCTTCAGGTTCATTAACTTCTTCATACATGCACGTCTAGGTATCCGAGTACTCTTGACCCTCCCCTCTTCGAGCAATTTGCTCACATGGTCTTCGAAAGTTAGTCTCGGTCTACCTCGACACCTTTTAATATTTACTTTCGCTCTATATATTTTCTTCACCATTCGGTCTTCACTCATTCGTTCAACGTGCCCAAACCATTGGAGTACGCCCCTATCAATTTTTGTGATAAGGTCATCTTTCAATCCTGCCATATTGCGAATCTCTTCGTTTCGCTTTCGGTCGGCTAAGGTAACGCCACACATTTTACGAAGAGATCGCATCTCCACTGCATTCAACTTGCTTTTATGCTTCTTCTGGCATACCCAGGTTTCGCTGCCATATAACAAATTCGGTACCAACACTGCATTATGTATTGCAAGGCGTACACTCTTCACCACGCCTTGCCTTTTTACTAATGCATTCAGGGCACCATTGACTTTGTTTCCGGCAGCGACACGCCTATCCACATCTAAATCACATCTTCCATCCCGGCTGAAAGCACTCCCCAAGTATACAATTTCATTTACCTGTTCTAGACATTCCTGATTTACCCATATTTCACATTTCGTTCTCTCTTCATCCTTTTCAAATACCAGAACCTTAGTTTTATTAGCATTCAAACGGAGACCTTTAATTTCACATTCCTCTTTCATACACGTGACTAATGCCTGCAGTTCTGCATACAGCATACAGCAGACAATTAACTTTTATGTCACCCAATTTCACACCCAAACAGCTATTTTTCAGCTTCTGTAAACAGCTGTCGAGATACAGTATGAACAGCCAGGAAGACATGACACAACCCTGTTTTACGCCCGCTTGGACACTAAACATGGGTGACAGGTCATGCCCTACCCGCACACAGGCTTTACAGTCATAGTAAAGTGACTGCACAGCCCTTAACAATCGACCATCCACACAATATCCCGGCAACAGTTCCCACATATTCTTCCTTATAACCTTATCAAATGCTTTCTCCAGATCCACAAAAGCACAGAAAATCTTCTGGTTAACACTCAGAAGCTTCTCCGTGATCATGCGGAGAGAAAACATTTGATCCCATAAGAATCTTTCCAATTTCTCTTGCATCCTACGTGTCAAAACCTTCGAGTAAACTTTACTTGCTAAACTAGTCAAGCTGATCGCCCGATAGCACCCGCAGTCAAAATGTGAACCTTTACCTTTATATAAAGGCACAATGACCGCGGATCGCCAATCATCCGGGACATCTCCCGTCCGCCAGCACAAATTGCACAGCAGATGAAAGCTGTCCCAGACGCGAGGCCCACCGTACTTGACCATTTCAGCAGTAACTCTGTCTAGTCCCGCAGCCTTACCACATTTCAAACTTCGAATCACACGTTCAATCTCTTTCATGCTGATGACCTCAGTGTCATCGAGGTCCGTGTCTGGCGTGCCAGTCACGGCGTCACCCCCGGATCCTTCACTAAGATCATGACACGCATACATTTCTCTATAAAATTCACTCCATCGCTGCATGACGTCCGATTTTTCTGAGAGGACGTCATTGGTTCTCGAAAGCACTTTGTTCATTCTTAAGGCTGTCGCACCACTTCGGGACCTTCCAACCTCTTTCCAGAAGAGTTTGGAGTTTTCCCTAAAGTTGTGCGACAACCTCTCGTCCGCTTCTATTCTACACCTTTCACGTACTTCCTCAATCAATGTTTTCGCATGAACTTTCTGCAGCTTATATCTTTCTTTCATCTTCTCTCTCATATGCTCATCGTTACTAGAGGCCAAGTAGTCTAACCATGCTTTTTTCTTCTTTTTTTACAGCTTCTCTCACTTCATCATTCCACCATGCATCTCTTTTTTTACTACTACCTCGTTTTGTCGTACCACATACTTCTTCCGCTGCACTTACCATTCCATCCCTAAGGTTCTGCCATGTTCTCTCCACACATTCTTTCCTGCCATCGATGGTGTCAAACTTTTCGGCTACCCTCGTGTGATATTTGTCCCTAGTATCCGCTTCCTGAAGCTTCCAGCTTCGGATGCGACAGACCGACTGTGGTTCTGTTACTGCCGTCCGGTAGCGCCAACCCGCGAACAAACCCCTAAATCTAGTAATTACTAGATAATGATCCGTTCCCAGGTCAGCACCCCTGAACACTCGTGTATCCATCACCTGTTTTCGGAGTCGGTCATCCACCAGGAACAAATCAATCATACTTCTCTCATTCTTTCTTTCTCTAGTGTACATATGGATTTTCCTGTGATTAAACATAGTGTTTGTCACAAGAAGACCCTTTTCCTTGCATACAGCCAGTATAAGCTTGCCAGCATCATTAACCCTTTTATCGCCAAACTTTCCAAGCACCGACTCGTATCCTGGTCGAGCGATACCTACCCATCCATTCAAATCACCACATACAACAGTTCTTTCGTTTCCCTTAACCAAATCTAGAACTTCTCTTACATTCTACCAAAACTCCTCCAGCTCAGCCCTGGACGACGAAGCTACCGGCGCATAAACAGCCAAAAGGAATAACTTCGTCAGTCCCATTTTGAAGTGAACCCAGAGAAGTCTTGAGTTCACAATCTTGTATTCAGTCATAAGATCGACCAATCGGGACTACAACAGCACTCCCACTCCCTGGCAGGCGTTCTCGCTTTCCGGGACTCCGAACCATATAGCTAACATCCCGCCAGGGAGGGAGTTCAGTACCACTGCCTTTCCGTTTGGTCTCCGACATACACACGACATCTAATTCTCTTTATTTCATTATTTCGATCAACTCATTCGTCTTATCTCTCATGCCCCCTCTAACATTCCACGTGCCAACTCTGCACTCCGTCCTCCACCTTCCGCCGTGTCGAGCTGTGCGTGACGGGTGGCGGTCCCCATCGCCGCTTTGCGCGCTGAATTCCACACCAACGGGGACGAGCTGGTGTGCGTCGCCTTGGGGGGACGCCCTAACCCTCGTTTGCATGGGTGCGCAGCTGTGTAGAATTGCAGCCCTGAAAAGGGCTGGCAGGGGTCGCGACGAGCACGCTTCTACAATGACCCCCATGCAGAAATCATTATTAGTTTTTAAGTTTTTTTTTTTTTTTTGTAAGAGATAGATTATTTTTTATTTAATAAAGATTAAAAGTAATCCATATTGAAATTCATTTTTACCATTAATTTGGAAAATCCTCTGTTCTAGGATAAATCAACAAAAACCCCGGGACGTTTTATTTTTACAAAGTTAAATTATACAATAAAGAACAGGCTGTACAAACTTATTTAAGAAAAACCGCTTGGAAGTGACCTCCTTATTCTCCGGTTTTACGCTTGTGGCTTTCACGGCACTAACACTAACGCAGAAATTACTTGAAATAAGTGAATGCGAATCTAATGATTTTTGTATTTCTTTCTCTGTGTTATCAAATAATATTTAAATAAGCAATTTCTAAAACCGTTAAAAATATAAAAAAAGGCTCTTGAGTTCCGTTGTTCTATTCTGAATTTTCCTACCTTCAGCTCACCGTTTTCTCTTGTGCCTAGTTTTGCGTTGAAGTCTTCCATTAACACAGTATAGTGGAGGACTACATGCTCATAGATATTCTCATAAATTTCTCCATCTTCTCAGTGGGATGTGCCGAGGTTGGTACGTAAACCTTTATGACCTTCAACGAATACCGATTGGTGATTCTGAATATAAGGTTCGCTTCGGGAGAGGAGCGAAAGACGTGTTGCTTTGTGGATTATAAATCCGACACCTCCTTGGGACCGATGGTCGCCCTCCTTGTTATAGAACAAGTTGCCAAATTCGAGGATTACTGTGTGCTCTACCCCTCTTCGGACCTCAGATAATCCTGTAATATCCCAGCGCAACTTTTCTACCTCTTTTTCCAGCTCCATGATCTTCTCGTCAGTCCTCAGGATACGTGCGTTAAATGTTGC